AGTTCACTAAGTTTGAATTGGAGGGTGATTCGTACTTTTAGCATTGTTTGATGTGATTTAAAGGCTCGACTAAGTTCATGATGTATTTTGGGACGTGTTGGTATATTTGGTTGATGTCCCGAAGACCTCGGGTGGATTCCGGATGATAAACGGATCGAGTTTGGACTTGGATGAAATGCTGAGGCAGCTGATACATGGCGCAATCGCACCTGCGTGAAAAGGGCCGTAGGTGCGAGCCACGAGTCGCAGGTGCGAAGGATAGGAGGCTGGTCAGCAACTGCAAAGGCGCAGGTGCGAAGTGGGCAACGCAGGAGTGGGCGATGGGCGATGGGCGCAGATGCAGCGCATGGACCGCAGAAGCGGACGCGCAGATGCGCTACATGGAGCGCAGATGCGGGAGTGTTGGGCTGAGCTTGAACCGCACCTGCGATGGAATTTTCCGCAGGTGAGCCACAGAAGCGGCTATTGCACCGCAGGTGCGAGGATCGTTGGGCAGTGAGGTTTTATAAAATGGGTTTTGGCTCATTTTCACTTTATTTCGTCCATGGGAGCCGATTTTGGAGCACTTTTGGAGTGCCATCTTCATCAACTATAATGAGGTAAGTGATTTCTTCACATTGTGAGTTAAATACATGGGTTTTACATTGATTCAAGCATGAAAATTTGTAGAAATTTGGGATTTTGAAGAAAAACCTAGAAATTGGTATTCTTGGAATTTGATCACGAATTTGGGCATGAAATTGAGAATAAATTATATATTGGAATTCGTAATGCTATGGGTAGTGTTTATCTTCGAATATTTTCGGAATTCGGGCTCGTGGGCCCGAGGGTTGCTTTATCGATTTTTTGAGCAGAGTTGAAAATTGTTATAAATTAATTAATTATGAGTATTAGAGTATAGTTTGATTGGGTTGCTTCTTATTTGACTAGTTTTGGATCGTCGGTCATCGGTTTGAGGTGTTAGAGCGGCGTTGGAGCCGATTATAGAACTTCGGAGCGATGTAAGTCTCCTGTCTAACTCTCTGAGGGGGAAACTATCCCTTCTAGGTGTTGTAATTAATTTTTGCTACTTGTTGCGGGGGCTACGTACGCACGAGGTTACGAGAGTCCATACGTAGCTATATTCATGTTATTGTCCGGGTAGACTCAGGTTCATGCCATGCTATAACTGTACTATTTGAGTTGTCTCTTGCCCATTAGTTTCTTATTACATGTTAAAATTTGAGACTAGACTTGTGTAGAGCGGTAGACTCGTTATTGTAGAGATCAGATGAACTTTATGACTTGCCACGTAATAATTGTACTCATTTTACGAATTTCCCCTGCATTACGCGTTCTCATCAAAAAACTTTCCCCAAAGCTTTCCTAAAACTCACTTGTCCCTTCGTGAGTGGGGTCAAGGACCCGTCAAAGCTTTCTTATTCTAATGGGAGCTGGTCATTCTCCTCGGCATGATAGATACATCTATGGTTCGTGATGTTTGACCCTCGGTAGTGCGCACACTTTATGGGATCGGGTCGTTCGCCTCGACAGGATTATGTACCACACTCTCATGGGAGCGGGCCGTTCGCATCGGCAATATATATAATAGATGTATCTATGGTTATATACCATATTATGATGGAATCGGGTTGTATGCATCGGCATTTCTATAAAAATTCTTCTAGGGAATCGTGCGTATTAATTGTACAAAGGGCCAGTGTATCTGGGTGTTTTCCTGATTTGAATTATGGCGACCCATCTGTTTATTCTGCCCCATATCTATTTTACTTCTTACTGTATTGGCCTTATTGGACCACTAGTAAGCGTCGATGTCGACCCCTCGTCACTAGTTCTATGGGTTTAAGCTAGATACTTACTGGGTACATGTTGCTTATGTACTCATGCTACACTTGTTATATATTTTGTGCAGGTACATATGTGACTAGTGGCATTGAGAAAGCAGAGGCGTATATGCATACGGGGACTTGCGTGAGCTGCATTTCACATTACGACCCGCAGCCGGCAGAGTCTCCTTCAGAGTATTTATATTTCTCCTGTCCAAATTTGTATTTCGGACAGATGTTGTATTTTATTTTATATTCCTAGTTGATACTCATGCACTTGTGACACCGGATTTTGGGATGATTATGAGTTATCTGTATTGAATTTGTTAAAAGTATTATTATTTACTCTGTAAATCCCCATTCTTTACTATTTAAATTGAAGGAAAAATATGATTTCAAAAATAATAGAATGAGAACCCAATTAAGTAATTATTGTTGGCTTGCCTGACAGTGGTATCCGACGCCATCACGATCGTTATGAATTTTGGGTCATGACACTATTATTAGTTGCCAAGAAAATAATTCTCTGGGTCTCATCAGCAACTACACTTGCTTCGACAGTGTTAGTATTTTTGTGCTCATTTTTCTTTTATATATGTTTTTCTGTGTTTTTCAACTTAAAGCATTCAGAAATAATGTGGCCTTTCTTATGACATTATTTGCACATGACATTTCTGTATCTGGATTTTGACCCTGATTTAGGTCTCTCACTACTTGAATCTTTCTTATTGGATCTATTTCTTATAAACAAGTCTTCCCCTTGCTTCCCACCAATTTTTTCCTAAGTAATATCTCTATCTATTTGTTTTTTTTATTTCAAAATAGATTTGATATCTTTATAAGATATATTATCTTTTTCATAAAGCATAGTATGTCTTATATGCTTAAATGACTGGGGTAAGAAAATAAGTAATAATACGGTTTGATCCTCATCTTTGATTTCAGCATCTATGTTACTTAAATCCATAAGAAGGGAATCAAAAGTATCAAGATGTGTAAGTATAGAGGTACCTTTAGCCATACGAAAAGTGTAGAGTTTTTGCTTTAGGTAAAGCCTATTTTCTACTGTCCTTTTCATACATAGGGCTTTCAATTTTTCCCATATGCCTTTGGCTGAGCTTTCTGCAGCAACTTCACGCAAAACCTCATTTGAGAGATTTAAAATAATACATGCTTTTGCCTTTTTGTCTATGAAGGCAAACTCCTAGTCCGTCATTTTATCCGTCTTCTTCTCCTTTCCTTGCAGTGCCAAATCTAAACCATCCTGAATTAGGATAACTTCCATCTTTAATTACCATATTCTTAAGTTTGCACTTCGATCAAATTTCTCAACATAGGTCTTTGTTAGAGTCATTTTGGCTATTGAAACTAATCCGGTTAGATCCGGCTCTGATACCAATTTGTTAGGTTCGGGAATCCAGTTAGTGTGAAATTTAGCCAAACAATGTTATAATAACAATAACAAAGACAATGCAAGTTGATAATGATGGTAATTAAAGCATATAAGAAGGCACCAATTTAACGTGGTTCAGTCAGTGTGACCTACGTTCACGAGCGGAGAAGAGCAATTTCACTATATTAGTAAGAATACAAAAGAGAGTACAAAATTAGAGTAAATACTCTAATCAACCCAAAATATCCCAAGAGAATATCCTCACAAGATCACTCTCGAGAAGGATTCACACAAGTGTTTCCCGACACTCAACTTTCTTATAAAATACTCTAAAATACTAAAGGAGGAGAAGAAGAAACAAGAAATGAACAACTCATATATTGTTGGTGCTTTTGGGAATGAGCTAAGAGTGCTCATTTGATAAGAAATTTGGAAAGACATGCTTGACCAATAATTGGTCATATTCTCTCAAAATACAAGGCCATTTATTGCCAACAAATTCCAATATGAAAGGGCAAATTGTTGGCCACGTCTGACATTATTCAATCTAACAGTTTCTAACATAAAATATTTTTTCCACATGAACAAAAGGGATGGCCAAATTTCAGAACAAAGCAAATAAGGGTGTTTTTCCTTTCTCAGAATATGTGCTTCTCATCCTCATTCTTATTTCTATTCTTAGTTACTTATTATTTTAGTAGTATTTTTCATTGTAATTCAGTAGTTGAGTGTTGCAGTTACTATCCCAAAGTTGTAATCGTATTCTAGTTCTTATTAATATAGTGAGAACTTTGATTATTTGTTACATAAAGTGACTTGTACATAAGTCTTCTTTGGACTTAATTTGTGTTAGTTACTAACCTTATATGGGAGATCTTACACACCTCTCATATATTAGTTTCTTTTGAACAAAATGATATACTAAAAGATTAGTTCTAACTAAACTAATCTTCACATTGTAATGGAGCTTATGGTTTATATCTTCCTTCATGTTCTGTTATTTTGTGATGGTAATATATTGGTGGGTTTGCTTAACCCTCACCAAAATGGTGGAGTTTGAATTAATTTTTTAAAAACTATTTTCAGTTTTAATTAAAAAAAAATTGTTGTTTTATTAAATTATGGTAATCATAAGTTAAAAACTTTTTAATTAATTAACATGTTATTTATTTGACTTTTCAGTTAATCGTATTTTTTGAAATAATTTTGTAATTTTACTGATACAACAAATAATTTTTAGTAATTTCAATGATAAAAAATATAATTTTCTTACTTTATTGATATAACAGGTAAAGTTCTATAACTTTATTGCTCATACAATGGGTAAAGCTCGCAGATCATGCAAGAAATTAACTCTTTAGTTTTGGACTTTTAGGGTTCGTTTGGCCATAAAACAAAATTCCTTTTTTTCGAATTTGTTTTCCTTTTTTCAAAATTAGTGTTTGGCCATAAATTTTTCGTTTTTCACCTGAAGATGAATTTTAATTTTTTTCGAAAAATTGAAAAACTTCAAAAAGCTATTTTTCAAAATTTTCACTTCAGATCACTCACAAAAATTCAAAAATAATCCAAAATTATATTCATGTCCAAATACAACTCTAATTTTCAAATACCATTTTTACTAAAATTTGTTTTTCATTTATTTTCGAAATTTTACAATTCTTATGTCCAAACTCCAAACGCCCACTTAATTGGGTTTTACCGATTACAAGGATTTCGTGGTAGGTGTCAGTCAACTTAACGAAATATACATCAGTCACATGCTTTGTCCTTTCTTTTGTCCCTTATCTTCTACAGTATATCAAATCTAAAGGAGAAGCAAATTCTTAATAGATTGAAAAACATACTCTTCTTATAAAAATGGCTGAATATGACCGAGCAAAAGAGCTCAAAGCCTTCGACAACACAAAGGCCGGCGTAAAAGGACTCCTTGATACTGGAGTTGTTCACATCCCCGAGTTCTTCGTCACACCGGGAGCAGAAAATGAGTTCAATGCTAAAAATATTAATTTATGCTCGGACGTTAATGCTCAAATTCCAGTTATAGATTTCAAGAACATGAAGGAAAATGATTTTCAACGTAGAAAAATCGTTGAACAAATTCGAGAGGCATGTGAGACTTGGGGATTTTTTCAAGTTTTGAACCATGGTATCCCTCAACATGTAATGGATGAGATGATCAAAGGAGTTCAAAGATTTAACGAGCAACCAAATGAGCAAAAGATGGAGTTTTATTCTAGGGATAATTTGAAGAAGGTGAAGTTTAATAGCAATTTTGATCTTTATCAGTCTAAGGCTGCAAATTGGAGAGATACACTAGCTTGTGTCATGGCTCCTAATCCTCCTCGTAGTGATGAATTACCAGTAACGTGCAGGTTATTTTTTATGCAATTAAATTTTTTGCTAACACCCTTTTTAATTTTGCTGTAAAAGTTGTAGTTGTTTTAATACAACTTATGAACTATACCACATAGGGTTCGTTTAGGTAGTGCAGAATTTTGTGAAGGAAAGAGCGACCCGAGATGAAGGACCCGTTTGGATATAGATTCTCAAATATTTTTTGAAAAAGTTGATTTGGGTGAAATTTGATTTGAAATTGAAAACGTGTTTGAACATTAATTTTGGGGCAAGTTTTGACATGCTAAAAAATCTTTTTTTTTTTTCCGGAATGGTCATGATTTAGCCCAAAAAGAGGTCTTAAACTATATTTGGGATTTGAATTTTTGATTTTCAAAATCTCCCCAAAAAAACTTGATTAATTCTATAAACAAACACATATTTGAATTTTGTTTTGAAAAAAATCTTCCAAAACTTATGAAGGAAGAAAATGGTTCCTTTTTTGGGGGGGCTTTTAGTTTGGTGGAGAATTTTGTATGAAAGAGAGACAAATCTTTCTTGAGTTTCCAAATCAAGGTGTCTTTCCCTTTAGCCTTTTTGTGCTAAATAATTGACTGTTGTGTCTTTGATTTTGTGTTTTGGGTGAAGGTTCTGTTAGGTCTTTTTTAGTGATCAAAATTGATTAGGGACAGTGATCCATGATAAAATGAGCTATTTACTTCAGTGATTTTCTATTTGTAGTTAAAAAGTAAGGTAGGTTAGTTAACGAAAGGATAAAGCGAGGTTGTAGTGGGGTATAGTAAGTGTGTTACTAGTAGTGTTCATTTCTAAGGCTTCTGCTTAGGGGCGGACGTAGCCCTTTAGCTATGGGTTCATCTGAATCCATAACTTTCGACACAGAGAATAAATATATATATTTATGTAAAAATTTACTAAAATTTTGACAAATATTATATCTGAACTCATTATTTTAACAGTACAATGAGTTCTATACTAAAAATCTTAGAAGTTGAACCCATTAAAGTTAGATTCTGAATCCACTTTTGCTTCTATTGCTTCACTTCCAATGAGAAATTACTCTTTCAAACAGCAAAAATATCCGGAAATTCATTTTTCTATTATCTCAGATAGGAAATATATGATTGGTCATGTTACCAATATGTTTTTACTATGCAACTTTTCTCTATTGTGTTTTACTATAAATGTGTGACTTTGTTGTGTTTTTCTTCTATGTTAGGAAGGAATTACTTGAATATTCTGAGCATGTTAGAAAGTTGGGCCATACAATATTTGAGTTACTAGCAGAGGCACTTGGGCTGAAGCCTAATCACTTGTTGGAAATGGAGTGTGCAAAAGGGCATTTCATTCTCAGTCATTACTATCCACCTTGTCCTGAGCCAAACAAGACTCTTGGAATTACAAAGCATACTGATCCAGATTTCTTCACCATTCTTTTACAAGATCACATTGGTGGCCTTCAAATTAATCACCAAAATCACTGGATTGATATTCATCCGGTGACCGGCGCGCTAGTAATCAATCTTGGAGACCTTTTGCAGGCAAGTATACCTAAAACAAATTATATTAGTCTAGTGACCCTTACTCGAGGCGGATCTTGAGTGTTAGGAGTGAGTTCAATCGAACACATTTTTTCAATAAAAATTGTAGATATGTGTGAGAACCCCTGAAAAGTTATGTTGCTCGAACTCTTTAAAAATATTGTAGGGTGCGTGTCGGGTCCTCCAAAAGTAGTGCATTTTTAAGGATATAACACAGGTGCGGCAATAATTTTGAAGAGTCCGAACAACATAGCTGAAAAGTATATAAATGCTAAGTTTTTAAGGAACTAAGATTTTGAAACCCTTCGGGGTTGTCCAGTTGGCTTGGAGGGCGGTCATCCATATGGATGACATGGGATCGATTCCCCCCTCAATGTCTTCTGGGTTGAGCTTGTCGCACGGGACTTGCCTAGTGCGGTTTACATCCCCTGTGTGGTTTGCAGGTTATTACACGGGATTTACCCCGTGCGCACAAAGTGCTCACCACATAGTGCTTCGGATTTCCCCTCTTAACAAAAGGAACTAAGATTTTGAACCGGTTATGTTTGAATTCTGAAAATACCTCTATCTTTTAATCTGTAAGTATTTTTATAGTGTTGGATTTTCTTTCTCCACTTGAAGTAAGGACAGCTTTTGTTTCAAGGGGACAGTCTAATTATAGCCAAAGGTTACAAACATGAACTGCAGTATACAAGTGAAATATCAGTAACCTTGTGACTTTTGCACCTAAAGTGGACTTTCCCACTCTCTGTTAATCATGTGAAAAGTAAACAAATAATGATAACTTTTAGGCTATATTTACCACCAACGGTTGTGGTGGGATAGATAGAATATCTCTCCATCTTTAACTAGAGTTTTTTGGGTTTGAGCCCTCGGAATAGAAATAATCAGGGAATGCTTACGCGACACGAATCCGATTTAATCGGATGTCCAACGCGGGCACTAGACACTGGAAAGGAAACCAAGAATTTTTTGGTGTTTGGAAAGTTTTGGAAGTTGTTTAAAGCTCGTTTTTTTGTAAGCAGGATCCATGTTGAGATTTGTTGTCAAGAAACAGTTTTCGTTTGGAAACTATAACTAAATTCACAAAACATTTCAGACAATCATTTGTTAATTGTTAAGAAGGTGATCCTTGGCGTAATTGATAAAGTTGTTGCCATGCGATCAGGAGGTCACGGGTTCGAGACGTGAAAACAGCCTTTTGCAGAAATGCAGGGTAAGGCTGCATACAATAGACCTTGTGATCCGGCTCTTCCCCGGACTCTGCACATAACGAGAGCTTAATGCACCGGACTGCCCATTTGTTCATTGTTAACATCATTTTTTCTGCAATATTGCAGCTTCTCTCAAATGACAAGTTCAAAAGTGCTGAGCACAGAGTATTGTCGAAACAAATTGGGCCAAGGATTTCAGTTGCATGTTTTTTCACAACTCAATTTCAGCCATTTGACAGACTCTATGGACCAATAAAGGAATTGTTGTCAGATGAAAATCCTCCTAAGTACAAGGAAACAACAGTGAGAGACTATGTTTCCTACTACAACTCCAAAGGACTTGGAGCTCGCCCTTCACTTCTCCATTTAAGACTCTAGGAATTTTTTCTAAGTAGAGTTTATATATATGCTTTCAATATTGTATCACTGTTGTATTAAAAAAATAAGCTTGAAAATGGATGGTTATTTCTGTAGATTGTGCAGCACTTTGTTTCTCCAATTATCACTGATTCAAAATTCGAAAGTTTGCATCAGAAAGATGGGGATGTGTAAATGAAGAATCCTCTGTTTTTACTGTTTCTTTTTCCTTTCTATTTTTCTATTTGATATCCTCAATTATTGATACGTACTTATATGTATCAGTTTGTACTTGAGATATCCTGTAGATAAGCATAGCACTAAATATGGGATTGCTACAAGTTATGTGCCAACTAGAGATCAAAAAGCATTAGATATTTTCACTAACAGCTTGTTTGGATGATTGCTGGCCATCGTTTTATAATGGATTGTATTGTATTGTATTGTATTGTATGATTTTATAAATACAATGTTTGGATAGATTGCATCGTTTGTTGTTGTTAAATAATATTTTGTTGTTTTGTTTGACTGTATCGTACTGTATTGTAACTGATAAGTTTACTAAAATACCCTCAATTGTTTAAATATTAAATTTATCAAGAATTACGAATAAAATAATTTAAGAAAATCTCTTTCTACCAATTTATCACCAAATATGTCTTATAAACAGATTAAGCAATTAAATTGATGCAAATTCTAACAAAATTAGTGGAACTAAATTATCAATTTTACGTTGGAGTTGGAAGCGGCAGAAGTTATGGAAAAAAAGGGACGAATACAAAGTAGGTTATAGGTGGAAGATTTGGAGTTCAAATTAAAAATAAAAGATAAAAGGGTAAAATAGAATTATGGATTAATAGGTTAGGGCATAATTGGAAAGAAAAATAAAAAACAATCTCACCACATAGGCCTGGCAAGTGGGCCGGTCCAGGCCCGGGACCGGCCCAAGACCGCGGGCCAGACGGGCCAAACGGCTAAACGGGCCAGGACCGTTTGGTCCGGTTTTAGCGGGCCTTGTCTGGTCTCGTGGG